GTTGTGAGAATCAAGTGGAGTCATCCATGTATCACGTGACCTGCACAGCATCTGACACATAGTACATGCTTAATAAATGTTATGTCACCATCGTAAGTTGTTGGGTATAAACTTGGCACCAGGGACAGCACTGAATGAGTCATACAAGGTCTAACTTCTGTGAGATATCTGCTTATTTGATGGCCCTTATGTCTGATTATGCATTTGTTAAGTACAGTCTCTATAAGTACTTAAGTTTTAGAGAAAGGTTTTGTCTCTTTCCAGTTTACTCCAGGGAACACTGGCTAGGGTTGGGCATGGTCTTTGTCTTCCCATCTGAGTGTTGTGTGTCAGTATCTATGTCCCCTCTGGTGGCTTTACTCTGTGCATGCACTCTTTGTCTCTTCCCTGTGGCAATTGGAGTGGGAGGAATACACGAAGGTTAAAATCCCTATTGGTGGAAGGAACTGCTTCCTGCTAGAACCACTTCCTCTTCAGAGTACTGAGGGGGAAAAGGCTGCCGCTAAAATTCTAGAAGTATTCTTTGCTCCTCTTTTCTCCTTGTTGCGAAGCTACACTGCCCAACCATCTCACTTCCACTGGGGGTGGGGTGGGCGGGTGAGTAACACTTGCAAAATCCAGGAGGTTGAGAATCCCTTCCCTTCTTTATTAACCTATTAGAACAGAGACAGAGCCTATACTAGTGATGGGCTCATCCAGCCCCTACACCATGCATTTAGGTGGCTGGTTTACCTGGACACCTTAGCTAGATCCTTATGCCCATGCAGTTGGCACGGGCCATCTGCCTGACCCACACTCCTCACTGATGCTAACTAGGTGGGCACACCCACTTGCCTTGGCATGTTTTATAGATGACCCATAGTGCAAACACCAACATGTGTAAGACATATGCTCTTTTCTTTGTGTAATTTCAGGCACCAAAATATGCCTACACATAGGGGTGTGTGCATACAGACACGTGCGTATTCTTTTTTGCCTGGTAGAAATATGCTTCTGTGATGTTCCTTCTCCTCCCACACATGCCCCTCCATGGCTGGCACATCTCCTAATTATTCCCATCTACTCCCTCCCTATAGACCTTTTGTGTGTATATTTTGGCACATTCTCTTGATTCCCTCTTGTTCTTTTCTCTCTCTCTTCTGCCTCCCTCCCTCTCCCTCCTTTTCACAACTCTTTAGAAAATGTGTTAAACTATACACTCTTTATTATTAATGTACCTTTATGAAAAATTCTTCACAGTTACAAAAGTGCATGGTTATAAAATCATCTCCATACAAAGGTTGGCATCTTCTCTGTCCCCACCCTCCCTCACCCTCCCACCCCCAGACATCAGCATTCCATGGGACAGTGTTAGAAAAACAGCGCTCTGAGCACCCACAGCTCTCCCCGCAGTGCTGTGGCAGACACGGTGGTGATTTACACAGGCCCTTGCAGCGCGCCTCCCTCACTTGCCTTTTGTCTCCTTGTGGGGGCGGGGAGAGCAGACAAGCTTTGGGAAGATGTTCTTCTGAGGAATGGACAACGGTGTCTCTGTAACTCTTCCAAAGCTGGAAAGGATGTCAGAGTGATATCAACAAAAACATCTACAGGGAAAATGGGGGCTGTAGGTCTTTCCTGGTGGCTGAAAAGAAATACCTGTCTTGGTCTGTTCGAATTCCATATGCCAACCTCCTTGAAAGGAGCTAGCAAACTCTATAGCGACTCTGGGGACCTATTTCTGCAGGGTTCCGTGAAATTCTCTACAGGAATGGAGAAACAGGGTTGAGTTTGTCTGAGGGGGACCAGAAGCAATCGGTCTAGTGTAGTGTGATGCAGACATGGAGTCACACATGTTCTTGGTCCAGACCTTGACTCTCAGGACCCTGTTGCTTAGCTAAGCATTGATATGCTCAGGCCCAGTGTGAAGGAAGCTTCTATGATTTGGGCTAATATCTGAGGGTTGGAGAATGGAAGGAAGCAGTCAGGTTGTCATTAGGCTGCCTCAGTCAGGTATTTTTCTCCTTGTATTTTCTGAGCAGCTATCCCTGCCCAGCCCTAATCGTATTCCATCTTAGCTGTCAAGTGATGCAATAAACAGATGGCTGAGTAGACTGTATCAGAGAACTGAACTCAAGTCCTGTATCAGTAGACACCTGACATACATGGAACCTCATGAACAGACACATGGACTCAGAGACACCCCAAGACTTAGATGTTAACCAGCCTGGAAAGAACTTAATGAAGCCCTTATAGGAACACCAACAGGAGTTCTTGATCAGCAGAATTGTGGGAACAGTTCCAACCAGGACTGCTAGATGACCTCTAGCAGCGTGCCGGGAGAAGCTTGCTTCTGAGAGCCTGCACAAGACGCTGGTGGTGGAAGGCAGGGAGAAAAGGAATTTCTGGGCTGTAGGAAGGTTTCCTCATTGTGCTTTAGTTAGCTGGGGGCCTTCTAGCAGCTGGAGAAGAACCTGTTCTTTAAAAGCTATATATCATACTCAGACAGGCTTGCCACTAGTGGGGACTAAATATTCTCATTAGAAAGGATATTTGATCTCAAGGGGCATTTGGTATCTTGTTTGGTTCTAATTCTATGTCAAAAAAAAGTACATAGAGTATACTAAAATATATTAACTATAGTTCAGCAAAGAGTCTCTAGATTATCATAGATGTATATGGTGTCCCTCTACGGGAGACTTAACTATTTTTGTCAGGACTGTTACTTCTAAAAGTTCCTCCCCAGATACTTTAAACTGTCTGCTGGCTGGTGGAGGGCAGCCCCTGTCTGCCAGTCCCTGGACACAGAGGAAGGAGAAAGCAGGTACAGCTCTGCTCCAGATGTCACAGGAGCAGGGCTCTGGCCCAGATGTTATAAGTGAGAGAAAGGGGACACAAAGTTCACATACCCCAGGTCTAGCAAAGTTTCTGGGCACTCTTTTGGTCAACTAGCTCAGGGAAGCATGAATAAAGGAAGACTTCCTGGAAAATGACATGTTTTTCTCCTTCATTCCTTAGGAGGATGGGATGATGCAAGCTTGTGGAGCTGGGGCAAGGTAGAAAGCCCCTGTCCTTATTGTCTTCCTGGCCAGCCTTGCCAACACCTTGGACTGTACCTTAAAGTCTTCACCTATCCTGCAGGAGCTCTCAGCCCATAGCTTTCCTGCACCCTTTGTATCGCTTACATCACAACACAGCACGGCTTGAGTAGGTTAACACAGCTTCCTCTCCTTTCCCAAAGAACTTACGGTTTGCCTGACGGCCACCATGGCCACCAGTTCTAATGCATTAGTTACACGTTGCAAGGCAGGTGACTCCTATGCAGATGTTATCTGCACTGCCTCTGTGTTGCAGAGGTTGCAGTTTGCCTATGGTGAACATGTCTAAACCCGTACAGCAGCTGGGTTTCATTGCCCTTTATTTAGCTGTCCTACTAGGGCGTTCATGGCTGCTGAATCCTGGGGCCCTACTACCCAGCTGCCCCAGCATTCTCTTCCCCAGGTGCCTGGAAAAACATTAGAAAAAAGAACGAGTTGGAGTTAAGTCCCAACACTGCTGCTTAGGCAAGTCACACCTGCAGTGCCGGGAGAAGCTTGCTTCTGAGAGCCTGCACAAGACGCTGGTGGTGGAAGGCAGGGAGAAAAGGAATTTCTGGGCTGTAGGAAGGTTTCCTCATTGTGCTTTAGTTAGCTGGGGGCCTTCTAGCAGCTGGAGAAGAACCTGTTCTTTAAAAGCTATATATCATACTCAGACAGGCTTGCCACTAGTGGGGACTAAATATTCTCATTAGAAAGGATATTTGATCTCAAGGGGCATTTGGTATCTTGTTTGGTTCTAATTCTATGTCAAAAAAAAAGTACATAGAGTATACTAAAATATATTAACTATAGTTCAGCAAAGAGTCTCTAGATTATCATAGATGTATATGGTGTCCCTCTACGGGAGACTTAACTATTTTTGTCAGGACTGTTACTTCTAAAAGTTCCTCCCCAGATACTTTAAACTGTCTGCTGGCTGGTGGAGGGCAGCCCCTGTCTGCCAGTCCCTGGACACAGAGGAAGGAGAAAGCAGGTACAGCTCTGCTCCAGATGTCACAGGAGCAGGGCTCTGGCCCAGATGTTATAAGTGAGAGAAAGGGGACACAAAGTTCACATACCCCAGGTCTAGCAAAGTTTCTGGGCACTCTTTTGGTCAACTAGCTCAGGGAAGCATGAATAAAGGAAGACTTCCTGGAAAATGACATGTTTTTCTCCTTCATTCCTTAGGAGGATGGGATGATGCAAGCTTGTGGAGCTGGGGCAAGGTAGAAAGCCCCTGTCCTTATTGTCTTCCTGGCCAGCCTTGCCAACACCTTGGACTGTACCTTAAAGTCTTCACCTATCCTGCAGGAGCTCTCAGCCCATAGCTTTCCTGCACCCTTTGTATCGCTTACAGCACAACACAGCACGGCTTGAGTAGGTTAACACAGCTTCCTCTCCTTTCCCAAAGAACTTACGGTTTGCCTGACGGCCACCATGGCCACCAGTTCTAATGCATTAGTTACACGTTGCAAGGCAGGTGACTCCTATGCAGATGTTATCTGCACTGCCTCTGTGTTGCAGAGGTTGCAGTTTGCCTATGGTGAACATGTCTAAACCCGTACAGCAGCTGGGTTTCATTGCCCTTTATTTAGCTGTCCTACTAGGGCGTTCATGGCTGCTGAATCCTGGGGCCCTACTACCCAGCTGCCCCAGCATTCTCTTCCCCAGGTGCCTGGAAAAACATTAGAAAAAAGAACGAGTTGGAGTTAAGTCCCAACACTGCTGCTTAGGCAAGTCACACCTGCTCCCGAGTCTCTATTTTCTAATCTGTAAATGGGAGTCATGATGTCCATTTACCTCCCACACGGGGTTGTTGTGGAAAGTCAAGGGGAATGATGCAAAAGCATTTCACAAAATGTCCAGTGCTGAACAGACACAGGGAAGATTAAGATGAAGCTCATGAACGGATGACGATGAAGATGACGGTGATGATGACAACTGGGTGTGGCACATGAAGTTACTGGGTTTTTGACTAACCGGGTGGATGCAGTGTCCCCAGATGGAGCTGCCTATCATCTTCCATGTAGAGTTTATCCAGGTAACCTTGGGTAATGTTCGCAGCTTTCTATAATTCATTCATTTGTAAAATGGGAATAACAGAAACCACCAGGCAGTGCTGCTGTGAGAATTGAAATAAATGAATCAATAGATTAAAAAGTGCCTAGAAGAGTTCCTGGCCCTTATTAGGAGCCTCATCAGCACTCCTTGAAAGTGAACTTGTATAACTTTAGCAGGAACGACGATGTTCCCCAATGAGGATAGGGTAGTGGAGAGAGCACAGGCTTTATTTTGCTCATTAAGCAACCTGTGGCTTTAACCGCTTGGAGCCTTAATTTCCTCATCTGTAGAATAGGAACAACAGTGCTCACCTTCAAAGACTGCTGTGTGCGGTAAAGGGAATTGTCTGTGGAGAGAGCTTATCACAGTGCCCGGCACTGGCAAGTGCTTGGAAGTTAACAGCTCTCACACCCTTATGCTTAAACAGGTGAGTTGCCTAGAAGAAAGAGCAAGTCCTCTTACAGTCCCAACGGTGGGGCCTTCTCCTCCTTCAGCCCTGGGTACTCTCATGCTGCAGGGCTGTAGTTCACAGTGTGCTTCCCTCCTGCAATCCCTTGGCAGAAGCATCGTGGCAGCCAAGTCACGAGATGAGGAGGAGTCGCAGGGTGCCAGGACTCTTGCCGCCCCTCTGCTGGGCCTCCTGCTTCCCTCCTCTGAAGCCAATGCAGTGAGAGGCAGCAGATGGGGGTGGGAGAAAGGGCACTGAAGGTGTCCATCCCCAGCTTGCCGCCTGGGACCTTGCCAGCAGGCTACAATTGGTGATGCAGCATGGTGGGGGGAGACAATGGCAGGTGGTCTCACCTGGTAGCTGCTGTAGAAGGAGGCTGAGGGGGCTGGTATGGAGACCTTCTCTCCCTCTGGAAGCAAGGGTGGGCACTGCCAAGGGCTGACAGATGGACAGATTGGGGGTCTGTAGGAAAGGTTTGGGCCTGCGCCACTCTTACTCTGTATATTTACGTTCACAAGAGACTGTTCACTGCTCTCAATACGCTGTGCACATCTGGGCTCTGTCATTTGCTTATGTCCGCCCTTCTCTGTCTACTTGACAAAGCGGACATTTGTTGGTGACTCAGCTCACCAATCAGCCCTACTCTTGTGATTCTCTTGGACTTTTCCAGGCATGGCTGATGATGCCTCCTCTGGGCTTCCATAATGATGTGCTCAGATAGGTGCCAGGTCGGATTCCGCTAACATTCCCAGTTCCTAGCACAGTGCCTGGCCCACAGCAGGTGCTCACGCAAAGGTGGTTTCCTGACCTTGCTGGGGCCATGACAGAGGTGGCCAGGGCACCATGGAGCCAGAGTGGGCATCCAGGGAGGGTGTCTGGGGGTTGGCAATTGGCAGTGGCTGGCAGCATGGAGGGATGCCAGGCATCCACATCATATCTCTTCCTCTTCGCTGGCCTTGCTCCAGCGGTGGCAGCAGTTGGCTGTGATGCCTAGGAGGAAGTTGGTGGCCACGGAGGCGATGGAGACCACAAAGCCCACAAACGCGATGAAGAGGTAATCATCCAGGGTCAGGGTCAGGTGGCAGGCCTTGAAGCTCTCCTCAGTGAGGGAGAAGAGTGGGGCACCCTCAACTTCAGGGGGGCCCCGGCACTCAGCCATCTGAGAATCTGCAACACAGAACCCAGGGAAGGGGAGGGGCAGGGGGAGAGAGAATGGAATGGAGAGCTCCACACCCTGCCCAGGAGAAGTTGAGATTTTTATGGAGTTTCTTCCATGTGCCCCAAATTTTATGTGCCTTCTTTAGTCCCCTCAACAGCCCTCAAGTCAAGTGTTTTTATACCTACTCTCATTGACGTGGAGATCCCTGCTTGGAGGGTACAGTCACTTGCCCAAAGTTAATAGCCATGACTAATGGTAGATCTTTTGTGGGACATCACCATCTCTTTCAACAGCCTCCTCAATAGCTTCTACCCTTAAACCACCTTGACACAGTTGGCTGAGCCATCCTTTCAAACCTGAAATCCTCTCATGTCCTCTCTGGCTTCTTAGCTCCCTGCAGAATGAAAGCCACCATCCTCATTGTGGGCTACAAGGACTCTTCCCGCCTCTTCCCTCTATGCCTTGTTTACTCCGCTCCACCCATGCACACCTCTTGATCACTTTCCCTCACTCAAGTGTGTCCCCTTCCAGGGTGGGGAGGGGGTGTCTTTGTGCTTGTCCCCTTGTAAGGATGCTTCTCCCCTGGGTCTCTGCACAGCTCTGTTCCTCCCTCCCTTTGGGACTTTGCTCAGACATCACCTTATTAGTGAAGCTGTCATTTATGATTGTATAGAGTAGGCACCCCGGCTTCACCTGTCTGCAGGCATTTTCTCTGTTACCTACTCTGCTTAATTTTTCATGTTTATCCCAGTCTCACAGTATTTATTTTCTGTCCCCTGCCCTTTGAATGTCAGCTCTTCCCATCGTACCCTTCACAGCAGAACACATACATGCTCAATGAATCTTTGCTAAATGAATATGTGAACGAATGACTCTGTGCAATTCCAAAACACTGGGTCTTTCTACTACACCACGTGGCTTTTCCAGGTATGCAGGCTATGGACCTAAGAATACACGTTCTGGAGATACTGGCTTGGGTTCAAATTCCCTCTGTACCTCTCCTTAGTACAGTTGTGGATAAGTTATTTAACTCCTTCACGTCCTGGTTTAATCATCTGTAAAATGAGGATAATAATGTCTTATCTCACAGGGTTGTAATGAGGACTCAGTGCATTAACACATACAAATGATACATTCTAGGAAGATAATAAGCACAATGTAAGCACATGCTTGTATTATTGTCTTAGGTTAGTCTTTCTGGACAGGTCGGCGGGGGCCGTATTCTGCACAGAGACTTCTGTGGGAGGGGGCTTCTCCTTCAGTGGGATTACTGTTCTCTCCATCATTGGTCCCACCTCACCCTCCCAGGGTCATTTGTACAAATGCATATGGTTGCGAACAGTTTCGTCTTACTGTGCCTTGGAAGGGGGAGTGGCAGGCAGGTAGCCGTGCTGCCACGCAGTGCCAGCCACTGGCTTTCAAGCAGCCAGCCATCGTTTCATTGAGTGGGTGTATATTAATCAAGCGCTCAGCTGGGGCTAGTCTCTTTTGACTTTCTGGCTATCATGCTCTGCCTCTATAAGAAGGGGATAATTCCACCTAAATTATCTAAGAGAGTCTATGTGAAGTTTTTTAAATTATGTGGTACATAAAGCTATGTATTCATTGTGTCGTTTTTGAGGGCAAAGAGTGAAATGATGGGTTTGGATTGACCTTTTTGAGAAATGGATGAGAATCACTTCCCCTGGAAATGCGGAGGATGCGAGCTGCCCCAAGCCCCAGGCTGAAGGGTTCCTGTGGGCTGTAGGCACAGGTCTCCAGACCCTGCTCAGGACAAGATCAGGTCTGGAGTGGACCATCAGGGGCTCTCCTCTTGGAACAGGAAGACACTGAACTCCAAAGTCTACTGTGTGCCTGAGTGGGGTGGAGGGGGGCAACATGAAGCAGGGACTGTGGGGAAACAGGGTGATTGGCAGGGACCCTGCAGGAGTGCCAGATGGGAGCCCAGGGGCTGACAAAGAGACCAGTCATGAAGTCAAGTTATACCCCAAGGGCACCCTTATGTCCCTCTTTGTTGATGTTTGTCCAAAAGCCATGGATAATAGTGGGAATTCTATGAAGAAAAGGGGAGGGAGAAGAAGAAAAAGACAAAGAGAAGAGGATTACCTAGTCGTGCCTACACTGGCAAGCTTTTTGCCCCCAAGAGGAACTATCCAGGAGAGTATGATTGTCGAGGAACAGGGAACCTGAGATTCTAGCTGTGGCCTGTGGATGGTCAGTCTGCCTGTCTGAAGCGTGGGTCTCTTTTCTGTCCTGACATGAAGCTGCACTGGTGGATCTTGCACCCTTGTCCTGCTTCTTCTGAAGGGCAGCAGGGACCTCAGAGACCACAGGAAAAGGAGGAGCCCCTGGTTTTGGTGGATGCTTAGCACCCCGGGAGCCCTTTCTGTTCTTAGCGCCCAGGAGAGAGGGGAGGATGTCCAGCCTGCCCAGTTGCAGATGGCTCCAGGCAGCCTCTCCCTCATGCTCCCTGCTGTTGCTGCATCTCAGTCCCCAGCTATTTTGGTCCCAGAGAACTTCCTCCCACAGCCCTGTGGAGACACCGTAATCGTGACCCACAGCCCCCCCAAACTATTTTGGTCCCAGGCTCCCCACCCAGCTTTCCTCTCCCTCCTACCTGGCTCGGCACCACTTGTGAACACACTCTGAGCTCAGGCTCCGGGAAAGCCCTGGGATAGTGCCCTGGGCTATCCTGTCATTTGGCTGCTGGGGTTCTGTGCCAAGCTCAGTGCTTCGGCACAGGAAAGCCGGTGTCTGGGGGCCACAGCTGAATACTGCCCACCTCTGGGCTGGCCTTGGGCACTGCTGGGTGATTCAGGCTCCGTCAGTCCTCGGTCTGCCTCAGGGCTGACTGGCTGGTTAAACTGCTGCATCCCAGTTTCTCCTCTCAACTCCCCACCCCATGCCCATGCCTTGCAGAACTCTGCTGAAGCACTTTAGCTGGCCCAGAACTCACGCCCTGACTCTTCGCATTAGCCTAGAAGTTGACTCTTCAGGATACAGCCAGAGGGCAGCCAGATGGCCGGGGCTGGAATCCTGACTCTAGCACTTAGCAGCTGTGTGACGCTGGACAAGTTACTAAACCTCTCCGTGCCTTGGTTTCCTCCTCTGTAGAGGGGATTTGGGGAAGTCTCTTCATAGTTCTTGTGAGGATGAGATGAGCTAAAGACATCATATGCTTTGAATACAGCCTGGCAGCTAGTAAGTATCAAATTAAAGAATATCAGCTATTTCTATTTCTTTGAGGTTTTCCAGCACTCAGAACTCTGAAAAAGCAGTCCGGTAGAGTACAGCAGGGCTTAGACATCAAATAAACTTGGGTTTTGTTCACGGCTTTGCCACTTTCCAAAGGAGTGACTCTGGGAAAGCCTTTTCATTGTTCTAAATGTCAGTTTATTTGTCTGCAAAATGGGGATAATGTAAGTGTGGGCCCAGTGAGCTCATGCATGGCCAGCTCTTAGGCCATGCTTACCCAGCCCTATTATTAGCTACGCTTACTTGTTTACTCTTTGGCTCATTAGGTCATGTCAAAGAGAGTTTCCCTAATGCAGGGGCCCAGGCACCCAGCAAGGACTAGCAAAGGGGCCACCAACACTTGTGGAGTTAAAGTGTTGTATGGAGAGGTGGGCGCAGATCAGGGCACACAGTAGGGGCTCAAGAGCTTAAGTGCCTCGCCTTTGGACCCTTTGTTGCCTCACTGACAGCCTTTTCCAGTCCCCGTGGCTGCCCAGTCCCACCCCCTCCGTTACCTGCGGTGCAGCGCTGGATCCGGTTCCGCAGCCACTTCAGCAGGGGCTCCATGGCGCAGCCGCACACCCAGGGGTTGCCGCCGATCTGCAGGGTCACCAGTCCCGGAAGGCCCTCGAGTGCCTCGAGGCTGAGGAAAGCCAGGCCACCGAAGCTGAGGTCCAGGTCACGGAGCTGCACCAGGCCCTGGAAGGCCTGGGGGTGCACTCTCCGCAGCCACGGGTTGTGGCTCAGGTCAATGTGCACGAGGCCATGGGCTTCTCGGAACATGTCGGCTGGCACGTGACTGAGGTTGTTGTAGCTCAGGTCCAGGTGTGCCAGGCGCTTGGCGTGGAGGAAGAGGCCCGGGGGCAGCCCCAGCAAGGAGTTGTTGCGCAAATCCAGCACCCAGAGCTCCACGTAGCACGTGAGGTAGCCGGGCGGCAGGGCTGCTATGCGGTTGTGGGCCAGGCTGAGGTTACGTGTGTCCATTGGCAGGTCTGGGGGCACCGAGAAAAGCCGTTGGCTGCTGCAGTCCACCACCTGGTTATGGCATGTGCAGAGGACCGGGCAGCTGGTGCCGGCATCTGAGTGCATCACCCCGGCTGCCAAAAGGAGGGAGACCAGCAGCACTACTGGGCGGGGAGGCCCAGGCCAGGGCAGCTGGGACCAGGTGTCACCCATCATAGGCAACTGGCAGCAGCGGTGCTTAAGGGAGCCCATCGGGGCTGGGGCTGCGTCCATGGAATCAAGAGGCAGTGGCTCAGAAAGGCAGCTACTTCATGGGCCAGAGCCCTGGAAGGTGGGGCTTCTGAGCACGTGGTATCGTGCTCAAGCCTGCCCCGGAGTCTCTGGGCACCTGAGTCCCCCCTAAGCGAGATCCACAGGAAGTCTCCTTTGGAGCCTAGGGGGTAAAGAAACCCAGCTGAGGTTCCCCAGAGTCTGAAAAGATGATCAAAACTTGAGACAGGAAGGAGTCGAGGATGGGGCTGGACCAGCTGCCAGCAGGTCGTGGAAGGGCCCCTACAGGTCCTTTGTGTCCCTCTCACCCATGACTGCTGGGTGCCTCCTCTCTGTCCTGTGTTTGAGAGGTGAGGAGGGTGGGTGAAGGACATGAAAGGTGCCTTTTAAAGGTCCTAGCATGTCTGGAAATCCCTAAGTCCTATGCCAAGTCTCAGACTAATTAGGAGGCCAGGGCTGCATCTGGGGCTCCAGCATTTGAGGTCTCAGAGGCCACTTCTTCTGGTGACCCAGTGGGCTTGAGTCCAAGGGGGTCCTGGGGTAGGCGCTTTGGGAAGGGAGCCCAGGGGGCCGTGGGTCTCCATGGGCCTCCTGAAAGTCTGAGTCTCAGCCTTGGTGTCTACTGAATCCCCCACGGAGGCTCTTCTTTCACCAGGGACTGGAGGACCCCAGGTGACACCCACTGCTGGCCGCTGAGGCTGGAAAGAGCCATGTGTCCCAGAGGTGCAGGATGGGGGCGTCAGCTAGGAGAGCTCTGGCGCCTTCTCCAAACCAGTGCCTCCCCCAGCCGGGCTCCGTGTTCAGCAGGCAGAGGCAGAATTCCCTGTGTCAACAATGAAAGCCCTGAGGCAGAGAAATCCGGGGCCCTCTCCTCCCTGGCTGTGCCCTCTCCCAGGTTCCCTGTCCCCCTTCTTCTTTGCCACTCACCACTGCCTTCTCTGTTGCTGTCTCTTGGGGGTGGCCACGGTGGGCTCAGACCCACCCTCACAGTGCTGTCGCTCACTAACCTTCCCCCTGCAGCCCCCCACCCGCCCCCAGGTGTCTATCCTAGGCTAGAGGCATTTCTTCTGCTCCTAGCCCCACCCCCTCAGCACCAACACCCCACCCTTGAACAACTCTCTAAGAACAAATGCATACACAGTCTGGCCATTTGCACACCCCTTTCAGACACTCGTAGCATTCACCTCTGTCTGTCTGTCTGTCTGTCTCTCACACATACACATGCATTGTTCTCCTGTGATTCCCTCACATTTGCGCTTCCCTGCGCTCACACCTCCCAGTTTTCTTTCCAGCTTCCTTCTGCACACGCACTCCTGCAGGGCCCCACTCCAGTGTGCCCCCACCGCGGCTCACCCCCCAGTGCACACCCTCATCCCAGCATCCTTCCCACACCGCCCTGCTGGGTGCGCGCAGAGGCGGTGATGGCGCCCCGGGGCTCAGCCGCCGCCCACCCCGCGTCCTCTGGGCCCCTCGCTTCCTCCGAGCCCGCTGGCTGTCCTCACTTGTCCTCCCCGCAGCGCTTGCCGGTACCGCCTCTCTTCCAGCCTCAGTCCCCACCACTGGGCAGCCACCCCACTGCCCTTTATCCAGACCCCTTTCTCGGAGCCCCAAGCGCGCCCCTGCACTCCCACAGCGCCCGTGAGCCCACTTACTCTGTCCCCCTTGGAACACGGCCATCGATCTGCGGCAGTCACGGGTCTCCCGCCCTCATCCTGGAATCCCCGCTCGCTGCTTCAGGAGAACCGATCGCCTCCCGGCTCTTCCCCTCCCCGCTCCTCTGACGAGCCTCCTGGATCCCGGGTCAGCGTCCTCTGCGGTTTCCCGTCCTGTGGCCCCGTGCAGCTCCCCTTCTTTTACTCAAAAGAGGAATCAGAGAAAGGATGCTTAGAAGAAAGTTCACAGAATCCCAGTGCTTCCTCCCTGAAACTCGCTGGTGCTGAGGCTGCCGGGGTGTGTGGCTTCCGCCAGGTCTTCCCCTCCCTCCCTCTTCCCTCCCTCTCTCCCCCTCCTCTCTCCCGTTTTCGCTCCCTTTTTTTCCTCGAGGGCCAGGTACTGACGTTTCACTGTCTCTTAGCAACTGCCTCCACATCTCTGAGCAACAGGAGAGCTGGCTATGGACCCCACCACGATGAGAAGCGAAGGAAGCAGGGGCAGAATGTACAGCCACAGGCAGGATCCTAGCGACAGGGCAAGGATGAGAGGGTCCAAGGGGGGCCGACAGGGGCCGCGGAAGAGGAGCAGGCAGAAGAGGGGCAGAAGGGCCCAGGGGGAGAGGCTGGAGTAGGGGCAGAGGCACCATCTGGAATCAGGATGGAGGAAGGGGAGATGGAGGGCATCCGACCCAGAAGGGAAAATGGGCAGGGATGGGAATGCAGAAAGGAATTTGGGGCGGGGGGCGGGGAGAATATGGCAGCAGCAATGGAGACATGACTAAGGATGGAAAAGGAAGAAGAGAATGCGTGTGACCAGCTTGCTCATTGACCGGACATGTCTCTTCCGTCTCTGTATAGCATCTGCTTCCCTGGGTCTGAATGTAGTTTGGTCACCAGATACCAGGTGACTGAACTGGCTCAGGGTTGTCAGGAACAGCTGTGGAAGGTGACACTTTTTCTGGGATCCTTGACTGTCCCTGAGTTCTGACCCCACAAGCTCTGAGAGGTTTTTGGGATGCAAAGGGCCAACTGGCAGAGCCAGGTGAGGTACCTGGAGCCGAGGACACGCTCAGATCTGTCTCTAGGGGAGTGGAAGCTGCTCTAAAACCTTGTGGTCCTGTCCTCTTTCTCCAGGCCCCAGGGACTCTGCCATCCTGTTCCCATCTGTCCCCACTTCCTGCTTCCTCCCACTCCAGAGTGACTTCAGATGAGGTTGAAGTCACTGCAACACCTTTTTCCCTGAAGACCCATTGAACAAGCCTCTAGCTGCCTGCATCTGAAAATCCAGCTTGATTAGCTGGTTTGGTCGAGGAGCTGGCTCATTTCTTCACTTTAATAGTCACTTTTTGAGCCCTCACTGGGTGCCTGGCTAGACTAGGGGTGTGCGTGCATAGCTGCCGGGAAGATGGCTGTAGATTTGCCCTTACAGAGGTAACATCAGTCCTGTGTGTTGACTCAGTTGATCTGGAGCCTGTTCTATTTAAGTCATATCTTAGGTTTTTTGGGGAAACCAAAATAGAGGGACAGAAAGCAAGTGTTAAACTCCGGGCAGATTCCGGGCATTTAACAAGTTCTCAAAATCATAGTCTTCTCTAACACGATTCTTTCCTCTATTAGAGGAAGGTCTGTTTCTCACCACTGTCTTCTTTTTATATTATGTTCATTTGGAATCTTTCATGCTCTGCAGTGTTGAGTACAGAGTCACACGGGAGCCATCTCATTACTATTTTCATGTTGAAATGGCTGAGGTAAATATGATTTGTATCTCCCCCACCCCAAAAGATGGGAATGGTTGTTCTCGTTTGGGAGTTTAGAAATAAAATCTTAATCTTAACTCACGAAGCACAACAACACATTGAAACAAATAATCCATTTATAAGCAAGGGTTGTTGGCCTGGGTAAAGCAAAGCTAGCATGATCACCGTATTAACATTAACTAAAAAATGGTAGGAGACAATTATCCCAGTAGAGGCTGAGAAAGGTAATCAGCACATTTCCATTTTGATGTTGACCAAAGGCATGTTAAAAACAGATTAAAAAACAGATAAGAAAGAAGTGAGGTTGTTTTCCTTTTACGTAATAGGAAGTTTATGCTTACAGTTATAACTAATAATATGACTAAAGGAAGATACTTGTGACAGTTTCCTTAAAAAATAGGAAGAAGGTAAGAATGTCTTGTCACCATTTAAAAGTGCAGTTTTCTGACTTGTAAAACTGGGATTATAAAAATGGCACCTAATTCATGGGGCTGTTTTAGGTTACATGAGTTGTTGTTGTAAAAGCACTTAGAATAGTATATAGCGAGCTTTACACATGTGTTTGTTAAATGAACAAATAAAGTAAAGTAAACGGCAGCATATGAAATTGCTGGAATAGTTATGCAGGACACATTTCAGAAAAATGGCAATGAAGAAAGGAAAACGATCACATTTGCAGATCACTTTGAATGTATTCTTGTGCAAGATAAGTCTCAAAACTTTCAGAAAACCCTCACTTAAGAACATACCATTGCATATAATGTCTTCCATAAAAGTGAGGTTAAATGGGGGCAGAAATCTTCTAAATGAACTTTCATCCACATATAAGTTAGGTATTAAAATATTGTTTCCCAAACTGGTGTTTTAAGGTATACTGTGTGCCATGAGAAGAATGTTAGCTCTCAAATAGGTTTGAGAAACACTGAGTTAAAGAAAATGAAACAAATTTATTTAATTCAAGATTTCTTAGAGGCTTTAACATGCAAATGTTCACGGTGATTCACCAAGGGAAAGGATTAGAGAAGGATGAAGGATGTATCATATCCAGCATTGCTCTTAGCGCTGGGTGGCCTGCTACTTCCCTTAGCAAAGTGACTTTCTTCTATGCAGCAGCTTTACAGTGGGGGTGACTCGATTTTGAACCCAAGCAAAATAAGTTATTACATATCATGGCCTTCTGGGGTCTCTTGCAAATTATTAAAATCATGACTGTTCAATCATAAATGTTAAGGGTTTACTTTACTGGAAAAATACAAAAGTTAATCTAAAAGTTGTAGATACAAATGAACTGAAATATCATTTTCATTATAATGATTTCTTGACACACATGGTTAATTAGTTGTAGTAATGACAGGAAACCTTTAAGTCCCTGAGAAGTAATTTAATACACCACATAAGAAATTTGTTTAGGGAAAGTTATGAAACCTGAAGAGAATGAAGATACAGGAAGGAAATGGAATGTTAACCTCCTAGTTGTTGGGAAAGATTGAAAATAGGAAGGATGACTCTGCTTTCTACATTATAGTAATTCAATGAAATATTTAGTAGAATCTGGTGAACTGATAAGGAAAGCCATGTGCAGGGAAAGTAGGCAAGAATGCTCAGATGATGTTAATAAAGAATAAATTGATGAGGGGAAATACTTAAAGAGTAATGATGGTGGACTTACCTAACTAAAAATTGAAAAACACATCATACACTGAAAATCATTCAATGGCATTAATCAATATTTGTGCTTTGGAAAATGACCACGGGATAGACTATACTCTGAGAATGATTCTCACTGTCAGAATAGAGAGAATGAAAAATGGGAAAAAAATTCCACAATGTTGAAAGTAATATCAGAATAAGAAATGATATTGAGATATGAATACTATGCTTCATTTTTAAAAAACTCCAAAGGTCCAAAGATTTAAAGAGAGAAACAATAAAAAATACAAACCAGAGAGAACAAATATTCTAGCTGTGGAGAGAAGCTGTCCTTCTGTGTGTTTAGGAAATGGATAATGTCATCAGTGACAAGATGGCTTTAGTCAAATACACAATATTGAAAGATGACAAGGTTTCACTGAGCAAAAAATGATGAAGAAAATCAGAAAGGAAAGAAGTGCAATGGAAAAATAAATTTTAGAAGTGATTTGAATAATCTGTGCAAAATATATTATGAAATGCTTCAAATATAGTTTTAAAATTGATATAATACATCAATTCCTCTGATGCAAATACAGAAAATAAAACATTTTATAGGTTAATTATATTTCTATGAAAAACAACAAAAAACCAAACCCCAAACATTGTGAGGTAAGATTCTAAGATGGCTCCTGTGGTAAGTAGAATAATGGTCCCAAGGATGTTTTTATTTGAATCCCTGAAACCTATGAGTGTTCCCTTATATGGGCAAATGGGACTTTGCAGATGTGATTAAGTTAAGGACGTTGCCATCAAAAGATTGCCCTGGATTACCCAGGTGGGTCAAGGTAATCATAAGGATCCTTAAAAGGGAAAGAGAGAAGTAGGAGAGTCAGAGAAGAAAGTGTGATGATGGAAGAAGAGGTCAAAGATCATTACCTGCTGGCTTTGCAGGTAAAGGAAGGTCCAAGATCAAGGAATGCAGGCAACAGCTAGAAGCCAGAAAAAGCAAGGAAATGGATTCTCTCCTTGACTTCCAGAAGGAATGCAGCTCTGTTGACTCATTTTAAGCTTGTGACCCCCAGAACTGTAAGATAATAAATGTCTATTGTTTCAGACCACCAAGTTTGCAATAATTTGTTATAGTAGCAATGGGTTGCTAATACGGCCCTCGAGATTCCCATCCCCTGGTGTGTACACTTAGATAATGCCTTCCCCTTGGCAGAATCTGTGAGTATGTGTGCTCCCATGGTTATCCCAATAGTCAGTTGCCTGTAGTCAAAAGGGAGATTATCCAGGTTGGTGTTACAATTGGGTGAACCCTTAAAAGGGCCTGGACCCTTCCTGAAAGAGGTATTCTCCATTGCTAGCTCTGACTTTGGGATAGGAGGAGGGGGATGCTGACACGTGGAGAGGACCTGAGAACTCTATTTGCTGAGGTTGATACCAGCCCACAGCCAGCAAGAAATGGGTATCTCAATCCCACAATTGCAAATGCTGCCCGTGAGTTTAGAAGATGACCTGGTACTCCAGATGACAACACAGCTGGCCAGCATCTTGATTCCTGCCCGTGAAATACCTTGAGTAGAGAGCCCAGTTCTGCTGTGCAGGACTTCCTACTTATTTGCTAACCCATGAGTGTTGTTTTAAGCTGCTAAGTTTGTGGTTATTTGTCATGCAGCAATAGAAAACAAGTGCAACCATCATGTGGAAAAAAGCATGGTTTCACTAGCAAGTAAATTCATAAGAATGAAAATAATTTTGTGGTAATACACTAAATGAGGAACAATACATTGCATTTGTAAAATTCTGTGTGCTGGGTATGGCTGAGTCAGATACACGTACACTTCCTGCAGGTTCAGGGAATGGGCTCAGGAAATTGCTCATCCTTTGGACCTGGCAGTTAGTAAGAAGT